TATATTTAATTACAGTTATTTTAAGTCATAAAACCTCCTTGTGACATCTGTACTTGGTTCAATTGATAAAACTTTTGCAATAAGCTTTAAAACAAAGTCAGTAACTGTTGGCAGAGTTAACGCATTTCAACTTTTATTCCCCCAGTATTTACAGTCTATGGTATTACACTTTTTTCATAGAATTATGCAGAAATTGTTTTGGTCTCTCTGATTCCCAAACCATTTGTTTTGACCATTTATGAATACATTCTGCCAAATGATAAACGGTGAATTAATGTTTTCTAAACCAACATTGGGAACATACTGTGATTACCTCTGCAACAATTGAATTTGATTGCTTTTGTACTGATTTGATTCAGACTGGCCCAGTTTTGTGACACTTGGCTCATTGGTGTGGTGTGCGGTTTGCCAATCCGGCATTTTACCAAATCACATATTTGCAATCAACATTTGGCCCCCGGTGTAAACTCACCTCTATTGACACGCCAGCACAGACAGCAGCTTTTACTTTTTTTGTATGGCAAGGCCGAGTTTAAAGCAGGGGTACCTAATTTTCAAACACAATGGAATTACGCCATACATTCCATGTAACTCGCTCTTCAAACAGCTTGGTTCTATCCCTTGTTTTCTTGTACATGTATCTTTGGCCTCTGTCACCTTTTCTGATCAGCTGATTTTTAGTGGTAGGGGAAATGGGAGTACCTGGAGGAAACCTAGGCAGACATGGGGAGAACTTGCAAACTCCGCTCAGAAAGGACTTGTTCCAACCAGGATTCCAACCCAGAAACTTCTTGCTGAGAAGCGAGAGTGCTATCCGCTCAGCCATGAATATGAAAAGTAGGGGGCCACTTTACTTTAACTCTGTCTGCATTCAGAGGGCTGTGGAGAGAGCTGCGGCAGTGTGCGTATATGAGGATATGAAAAACTCAAATGCGTGAATTAACAAGCTGAATAAATGTTAGGTTATGTCCATTCAAGTCTGAAATGCAAATTGACGGCTATTTACCAATCACTGCCACTTTTACTCTAGGCCTAATGTTGCAATCATAAAACCATGTGTAATATCTATAATATTAATCCTTTGTCACAAGCTGCTTTTTTTCTTATACATGTAGCTTAAAACCTTTTCATTTCAACTTCTCCTCAGACCTAAATGTGCATGTGTGTGGACATATGATCATGTTTTATGAAACATGTGGAACATTTAAAGCAATAATAAACCTCCACTGAGAAAAGCAGGGAGATAATTCACTAGTGACATACTAGCTGTTTAAGATAGATCTTCATCCAGCCGAGGGTCAGGGTCTTTATTAAAAAGATATTGTTCATAAAGAAAAATTATAGACACACTCTGCCAAAAAGCAGGTCTCGCTGGCTTAGAAGAATTCACAGAGCAAGACACGATCATCTGGGAGCGGATTCAGCAAAAAGAGACAAGATAGAGCAACAGTATCAAGCAAACATCTATGGATCAGAACCTACTCTGGAGATCTTTCAAATACCAAAAGAAGTCTCAAGCATGATGAGCAAGTACCTAGTAGCTTCAACAAATTTGCTGGACAACTCAAAGATTTACAGCTGGATGGCAACAACTGGAAGTTACTATTGCAATGGGATGCTCTATATCACCATGAGCTCTTTCTGATCAGGGAGCTGATGAGGATCGCTGCATGATCTTACATGAGAATGTAAAAACAATATTACAGACTGCTCCATGTAAAGCCCGGTTACTCAAGCGACTGGATGAGCTCGCTGCACCGGCAAGGAAGATCAAACTCTCAAAATGAAGGAGCTCCTATTGTGGAGGAACTGCATCCTGTGTTGGAGGAAGAGGAACATCCCATCTTCGATCAGTGACGAGGGGTGACAGCAGCCACCTCCCCGGGCGTTCCAGGGCCTCATGTGGTCACTGAAGATGGCAGACGTCCCATCATCACGTGACAAAATACATTGTAAACAACTAAATGTGAAAATCGCTGGGTTTTCCTCATGGCGTCTCAGACACAGGTTTGTACAGCAAGAATGCATCACAGCTCCCATTCAAATCCCTCAGGTTCGGGCATCAACAAGAGAAGGTATTGGTGCCAGACCTAAATGAGCTTTAAACGAAATCTTAAACATGTAAAATATACAATCTGCAACCTGCAGAGAGAAGATTGGAGTAGAGACCGGAGAGGAGGACGTTATATACAGTACATAATGTCATGTTGTGAAACATTCCAGGGAAAAACATTGCATTTACACAAACACAACATCTACATAGAATTTTCATAAATGGAATTTATGAAACAAAAATACAAAATAAAATAAATGAATAGGCCTGTACAAATAAATTACGTATAAATGCATCCAAAATGGAAGTACAATTAAAAAATGTACCAGCCAGGAACTCGTGACTCTTTGAGCAAATGTTTCAAAGTGTAAGAATAAATAAATCTGACTAAATGACTAAAGTCTGTGTGGTCTGCAGCGGACCCGCGGAGAAGGCCCTGAAACGTCCGTGTGTGTGTTGTTGAGCAGTGATGAATGCGCGTGCGCTGGTGCCGCTTGTTGTGTGACCGCCGCGTGCAGATGAGCGCGTGGGAGGTGTTTGGTGCGCGCGGCGGAGGGCGACATTATTGGTTGGCTGTTTCTCTACTGTGAGAGAGAGAGAGAGAGAGAGAGAGAGAGAGAGAGAGAGAGAGAGAGATGTGACAGAGACTAAGAGAGAGAGAGAGAGAGAGAGAGAGAGAGAGATGTGACAGAGACTAAGAGAGAGAGAGAGAGATGTGACAGAGACTAAGAGAGAGAGAGAGAGAGAGAGAGAGAGAGAGATGTGACAGAGACTAAGAGAGAGAGAGAGAGAGAGAGAGAGAGAGAGAGATGTGACAGAGACCAAGAGAGAGAGAGAGAGAGAGAGAGAGAGATGTGACAGAGACTAAGAGAGAGAGAGAGAGAGAGATGTGACAGAGACCAAGAGAGAGAGAGAGATGTGACAGAGACAAAGAGAGAGAGAGAGAGATAGATGTGACAGAGACCAAGAGAGAGAGAGAGAGAGAGATAGAGAAATGTGACAGAGACAGAGAGACCAAGAGAGAGAGAGAGGGAGAGAGTAGAGACCGAGAGAGAGAGAGAGAGGGAGGGAGAGATGAGACAGAGAGACCAAGAGAGAGAGAAAGGGAGAGAAAGAGAGAGAGAGAGAGAGAGAGACCAAGAGAGAGAGACCAAGAGAGAGAGAGAGAGAGAGAGAGGAACAGGGACCCCGCTAAAGCCCACTCTTCCTTTGGGCGAGCCTTCAGGGCACCTGTGGTTGCGCGGCCCACGGCTGCAGGACGCGGCAGGACGCGGCAGGACGCGGCAGGACGCCGCAGGACGCCGCAGGACGCTGCTCTTACGCACTCCCATCGCGCTCTTTCATTGCCCTAGCAACCAGCCGATTGAAAGATGATGATTCATGCCAAAGACTGCTAATTTTTGTGCAGTTGTCAAACATGAACAATGGGGCGAGAGTGAAGGAGTCAGAGGAACGTCAGCGGAGAGACACAAATGTTGAATGTGTGTGAAGTTGGAGAGCTCGTACAGAATTAGGTTTTGATGATGGAAAATCCTGTAAAGTCAAGGGGAATGTTGTGACTAGAATAGAAGCACTTTCATCAGGGTCTGCTCTTAGATGGTTCTCCTCTTGGGGATTTTCCTTTTGATTTGGAAGCAACACATTGGAATCTGCTCACGCAGAATTAGCAAATGCCATGTACACTGGGCATGCATGACATGATATAAACACAGCTACAAAGTACAAGTTAGCATCTTACCAGACTAGGACTAAACCTGACTGGGAAAAGGACTTTGAACCAGGACTGAACCAGGACTGAACCAGGACTGAACCAGGACTGAACCGCAAGCCTGAGTGTTTTTTTTAGCTTTGATTCAGATCAAACTAGACTTCATTTAGTGAGAAAATAGGTTCAGTTTGTAAAAAAAAAAACCTCTAAATAACTGAGCCTTGTATAACTTTTCAGATGTGTAAAAGTGTCCACGTGGGGTGGTCTGGTCTGAATCTAAATGTGCATTCGTCTCATCCTCATTTTGAAGTGGCTGGAGGCTATTTTTGACTAACGTTGAAAGAGGAGAGCGTAAAAGCCTCATTGACAATAGTTCCCTCTCTGTGAGAGTGAACATGGTGCACGGCTGTGATCGAACACAATGTACTAAAGCACAGCGTTCAGAAGGATATTCTGTTAGTGCAGTGATGAGATGCAAAGACTGCTTCTGTCTCCTCCCATTGACTCTAAATGATACATCATTATGATTTAGACTCACACAGCAGACTGAAAGGTCAACAGCGCCAACTGCTGGACATGGTTGAGACTTGTAATCTTGGCAATTTGATGATGCTTCCAAAGTTGAGTAAAAAACACATCCAAACAAAACCCAGTTTGACATGCTCAAATCTAAAAAAGAAAAAAAATATCTAGAACAACTGACAATAGACTAGTCACTGCTGCAGTCACTTAGATCTGAACTTTAGTCACTTGTGCAGTAAGTCCATAAGAGAAAAGTCTGATACCAACTTCATACTTCTGTAAAATGTGGTATTAAAATGTGTTGTGTTTAGAAATACACTTTTCCCTCAAGCAATCTACCAGACGTGAAATGTACGCTATTGTCCTTTTAGAATAAATGGAATCTACTTAAAATAAAGCAACTGGATCCAAAGACTGATGAATAAATGTTGACCACTGAGACTTTTTTTTAAATGATAGTACTAACGGTGTAATGCATGTTTCTACAGGATGTGTGCTGCCTCTGGCACAGGGCCCTGTGTAAGATCTGGATGTCTGCTTTTACCTGTGGTTTTGACTATGGCTATGACTGTGTGAAAGCAGCTAAGCACTAAGGGTTATAAACCACTTTCTGTGTTTGGTTTCTGTTTGAGGCAAGACATATGGTAGGCATGGCTTTACCTCTTTCACAGACATTGTCTCTTGGTTGCCAGAAGTTGCCATAAACTACAGCTGGTGATGGCGGTGGTGGTGGTGGTGGAGGTGGTGGTGGAGGAGGTGGAGGTGGAGGTGGTGGTGGAGGTGATGGTGGAGATGATGGTGGTGGAGGTGGAGATGGTGGCGGTGGAGGTGGAGGTGGAGGTGGTGTGGTGGACCCCTACAGTAAAAGCTTGTAGCTTCTGGGATTTCCATTCTCACATGTAGCACACGAACAGTTAGTGACTGTGTGAGATTGTGAGTAAACTAATAACCCATAGTTTATGGTCCGCCGAAGGCCTGGTCCTGTGGAAGTGTGTAGGAAATATGTGAATATGTCAATTCAAAGCTTGCATTACATTTTTGGGCCTTGAAAACTGTGAAAATTGCTGACCCATTCAAGAGGTTAGGGTTGGTCCGGTGACTCCTATCTCCCCAGATCTTAACAGTAACTGACAGTACCTATTTCAACAAAGCAGAGAGATTATGTCTCAGTGACAAATGTGAGCGACACACACAGTTCGGGTTCGATGCAGAGATGGTGTCTCAGGAGCTCAGCACTTTCCTAATGGCGTCGCATTAAAGGGATTTGCAGCTGAAGTTTAACTGTCAAAGGCTGAAAGGGGTTAATGTGTCTGTGTCACTTTCTGAGACTGTGTCAAGTCTGCAGGAGACCGACCTTATCATACTTTACACATGTACATATAGTTTCACACATGATCCTGAATGATCACTACAGAGTCAGTACATGTCTGTTTGAACTCTTTTCATGAATGCAGGGACACTGTGCGGTGTATGGGATATTGTGCATGTGTGTTCACTGTGATTGGCTGAAGTTATTGTAGAGACTATACAATAGTTTAACAACTGCTAAAAGGTTCTGTTCTCTGCCATTTCTGTTTTATAATCGAAAAGTACTCCTGCTGTACAGAGTGTGGTATTTCCAAAAGACACTGACACTGTTTTCTGTTTAAACATAAAGACTTCTTTAGTACAAACATGCAGTGTTCCTTTCTCACACTGAGAAATCACAGATGCAGAGCGTGAGGGGCAGAAATACTCTCTTTGGCGCCCCCCAGAGGACAGATATGTAACAGTTTCAAACGTCTGAAAAATCTATATTTTTTGGAGCAAACTCTGGCCTCGGACTATTGTGAGATTCTATCCTTTTGTCTTTTTATCTCTCCGTAAAAAACCTGTTTGAACATGAACATGTTTGAGACCTTTTTGCGGAAAAAATGCCTTGGCTAATTGAGCCTCAGCAGTGTTTACAGGGCCTTATGATTGACTCATTTACTCTCATTATAAGTGGCAACAAGAATAAAATCAAATTCCTAAGTCTACCAAGAATGTCTTTGGTAAACTTAAAGGGTTCTCTCCGTGTCTGAAAGAGAGGAGAAAGACTGTTGTGAAGCTGGGGATTAAGATTTGTAAGTAAGTAAGTAAGTACTATTTATTTATATAGCGCATTTTACAGACCAAGGTCACTCAAAGGGCTTTACAATGTTCAGAGTTCAGATGTTGTTCCAATCATTCCACACACGGTGATAACAGAAGCAAGTCGCCGAACACACTGCATCAGCCCCAATCCACACCATCCATTCACTCTCTCATTTACATTCATACCTATTGTGCATGTTTTTAGTGGTAGGAGAAACCGGAACACCCGGAGGAAACCTACGCAGACACGGGGGAGAACATGCAAACTCCACTCAGAAAGGCCCTGTTCCGACCAGGATTCGAACCCAGGACCTTCTTGCTGAGAAGCAAGAAGGGCTATCCACTCAGCCACCCAGTAAGTTTTTTTGGGGTTCAAACTGATTCTGATTCATCCCAGAAGGTTTTATCTGCGTGGAAATAAGTACGAGACGTTGACATGTTTCCAGAATGTTATGTTTGATCAAAAATCTGTCCTTGTTCCACAACTTGAGTCCTGCGCCTGCACGTGGCCCTGGTCCTTGTTCTGTAGCTTTGGTCCTGGATCTATCTATATATATATCCACTCAGCCACCGCGGCACGGTGGCTGAGTGGATAGCACTCTCGCCTCTCAGCAAGAAGGTTCTGGGTTCGAATCCCGGCCGGACCAGGGCCTTTCTGAGTGGAGTTTGCATGTTCTCCCCGTGTCTGCGTAGGTTTCCTCCGGGTACTCCGGTTTCCCCTACCACTAAAAATATGTACAATAGGTCTGGCATGCGCCTCCTGTTCGGCGACCCCGCTCCCATCTGTGTGGAGTGAGAGGACAAGTGCCCAAAAAATAACAATTGTAAACCGCTTTGTGACTCTGGTCTGTGAAAGGCGGTATATAAATAAAGCTTACTTACTACTTACTACTTACTATAGCCCGCCCGTCCGTGTGGAGCAGATCCCCCTCTCAGTGTGGATCTCCCCGAGGTTTCTCACTTTTCTCCCACTTAGAGCTTTTCCTCTGTTGCAGGAGGGTCTGTTGGACAGTGAGTGTCTGACAGAAAGGTCTGTGGTGATGATCCAGAACACTTTAACATTCTACAACATGTACGGACATTTATCAACACTCATGGACATTGGTCTCTCCCGTGGACCAATACCAACTGTTTGATTCTCTGATCTGTGTTGGCTTTATCAGCAGTTTTTTAAGTCCTCTGAGATAACTACTGTTGTGATTTAGGGCTATACAAGAATAAATTGAATTAGATTGTAAAATCAAAAGCAAAATGTTTCTGCATGTTTCACGCATGAAGCTGATGAACGCTTTTGCTAAAGAAAAACTCAGATCCAGGTCTTAATAGTGCTTTATGTGACCGGAATGTTCCACAACAGAGAAGGAGATGTTCAGGATGGTTGTGTCAGGATCATGCCTTCTCTCTGTCGAGCCTTGTGCTTTAGGAGTGGAGATGACAGCGGTGTTTGGAGGACGCAGAGTGGGCTGAGAGTGTGAGGCTGTGTCACTCTGCCCACAGACACACTCAGGACAGAACAGCTCCATTCACCATTCATCAGTCTGAACACCAGAGAGGAACACATGACAGAACATTCAACAACACACAAAGAAGAACACATTATCAGCAGCAAATGCACACTACACAACACGAATATTGATCCATAATGTACTGTATACTGCTCCTATCCACATTGAGCTGTCAAAACAAACTTATGGTCAAAACCCGCAAAACTGGGAAACTCTCACTCAGGAGCACATGATAAAGTAAGAGTTCAAGTATTAGTTTTGTGGTGGGTGTTTCTGTTGTTTTCTTTTGTTGTTGATTTATGATGGGTTAGGGTTTGGGAGACATCAGACTCCACCATGAGACAACGGTTGGATCAGTCTAAGTGGCTTTTGTATTTATTTTTCTAGCTTCCTTGTTATGCTAAAGTTACTAAAGATTCCAGATTTGCTTCCTTCCTTATTATGTTAAAGCTAGAGATTTCATTTTATACTTGGTTCCTTTTAATGTTAAATTTTATGTTTTTATTTAATTTATTTTTTTAGAATAGACTTATTGTTCATGTATCTTCTGCTGTGCTCCTCTTTCCTTCTCTTCTGTAAATATTGTAATGGGGGAATAATTGATCTCTTGTTAGCGAGCCCCCAGTGCAAACAATATTAAAACAAAAGTAGAGGCCATACATTCGCTTTGGTTAAGTCTCAGGTGAAATGAAAGACCTTACAATTTTTTTTTACTCCTTCTTCTGGTGGTTGTGTGTAGAGTTTCATAAAGAACCTCTTTATACTACTCGGCATCTATTTGAAAAAAAAAACTGACTGAAAACATGATTTTATTTTCTCAAACATGATGCTGAACTACTAAACTGATAAAGTCTTTCCATCAATTTTCTTCCACTTCATCAATCGCCAAATGGCCGAAAATAAAACTTTTTTTTTTAGTTTTCCACTACTTTTGTTAAAATTAAGTAATTTTTCAAGCTTTGTGTATCTTCAATGCATGCTTTAACTGGTTCATATAAATTAAATAACACAACACTAAATGCTAACTGTGGCATTTAGTAAACAGTGTGTTGTGTTGTGTCTCGGATAATTTCATAGATATAATTACACTAAAATAAACTACATTGAGACACAAGAAAAGCCAGAGTAAAAAAAAAAAACATACATTACATAAACTGTACATTCACTCTTTCAAAACAAAAATATCTCTGAGGTTTAGCGTTAAATCAACAAGAAAATAATATTAACCACAAACAAAGGTTGCCGTCTTTTTCACTACACACCTGTTTCTGGGAGTAACAGTTGAAATTGACAAATATGTTGACTGACCAGATGCATGACCCACTTTTGCAGAATGAAATATAAAAGCCAACAGATATTAAGACCGTACAATAAGGTCCTTTATGACATGGATATAATCTCTCTACATGAATACATCTCTGAAACAACCTAAAAGACAACTTTCTTCTTCTTTATACTTGAAGGTGATGTGTCTGAGCAGGTGCAACCTTAATATCTTGATGAGTGGTCAGTTATGTTGCAGTGATGGCTGGATTAGATATTAACCATGGCCTAAATCACTTTGTGCTGACAGATTTCGAGTGTGATAATCCCAGGTGTGGCTTTAAAAGTGCGAGTGAGGCCCCGGGAGCCCTTCTGTAGGTCCCTCTCCATCTCTATCTCCAGCCAAAGATCCACCAGAGAAGGGCTGAACACAACAAACCGCAACCATGAACGGCACGGAGGGACCCTTTTTCTATATCCCTATGCTCAACACCACCGGTGTTGTCCGGAGTCCATATGAATACCCTCAGTACTACCTAGTCAACCCTGCGGGCCGACGCTGCCCTGGGCGCCTACATGTTCTTCCTTATCCTGACGGGCTTCCCTATCAACTTCCTCACACTCTACGTCACCCTCGAACACAAGAAGCTGCGGACCCCTCTAAACTATATTCTGCTCAACCTGGCGGTAGCTGACCTCTTCATGGTGTTTTGGAGGATTCACCACAACGATGTATACCTCAATGCACGGCTACTTTGTTCTCGGACGCCTCGGCTGCAACGTGGAAGGGTTTTTTTTGCCACTCTGGGCGGTGAGATCGCCCTGTGGTCTCTGGGTGGTCCTGGCTATTGAGAGGTGGGTGGTCGTTCTGCAAACCCATCAGCAACTTCCGCTTCACTGAGGAACCACGCCATCATGGGGGTGGGCTTCTCCTGGATC